ACGGACACGGAGATCACGTACTCGGTGTCGGGAGCCAGGGCACGGAGCTGCTGGGATGTCACCAACCGGCCCAGGGCCACGTGGCGGGGACGGTCCTTGCCAAGGAATTCTGGGAAGAGGAAATAGGAGAAGGTGGGATGGTCTTTGTCAAAGAATTCTTGGGAAGAGGAAATAGGAGAAGGTGGGATGGTCTTTGCCAAAGAATTGTTGGGAAGAACAAATAGGACAGGGTGGGGTGGTCTTTCCAAGGAACTCTTGGGAAGAAGAAACAGGAGAAGGTTCTTTCCAAATTATTCTTGGGAAGAGGAAATAGGAGAAGGTGTGATGTTCTTTGCCAAAGAATTGTTGGGAAGAGGAAACAGGAGAAGGTTCTTTGCCAAAGAACCCTTGGGAAGAGGAACAGGAGAAGGTTCTTTGCCAAAGAATTCTTGGGAAGAGGAAACATGAGAAGGTTCTTTGCCAAAGAATTCTTGGGAAGAGGAAATAGGAGAAAGTTCTTTGCCAAAGAACTCTTGGGAAGAGGAAATAGGAGAAGGTTCTCTGCCAAAGAACTCTTGGGAAGAGGAAACATGAGAAGGTTCTTTGCCAAAGAATTCTTGGGAAGAGGAAATAGGGTAGGGTGGGATGGTCTTTGGCAAAGAACCCTTGGGAAGACGAAATAAAATAGGAGAGAATAAAGACTGAAGAGTCTGGGAAGGGTCTTGGAAGTCTTTTCCGAGCTCAGTGATTCCATGACAGCCCTGTGTGCGCTGGGGCGAGGGAGGAGAATTTTCCTGTGGATGTTTATTTGGGAATTTTGACAGCTCAAGTTGCCAAAGGCCCTGGAAGCCCCACCTGGGGCTTCACTTCGTGCCCTGAAGTTGTGGGAGAGGCTGCTCAGAGTGGTGAAGGAGCTGGACCTGCCCCTGCTCCACCATCCCTGAGGTTCTCCCGTGCTCCAGGAGGAGCTGGAGGTGGTTCAGGCTGGAGGGGAGATGGATCTTACCTGGGGTAGGACCCCAAGCCACTCTGTAGCCGGTGGCTCCGGTGACGGAATCCCAGGAGAGCAGGAGGCTGTTGGTGGAAATCTCAGTCACGTTCAGCATCCGGACGGTGCTCGAGGCCACTGCGGGAGAGAAGAGTCATCCACTTGGATCCAGGACCCAACAGCTTCCAGAAAAATAGGACAGGGTGGGGTGGTCTTTGCCAAAGAACTCTTGGGAAGAGGAAATTGGATGGTCTTTGCCAAAGAATTCTTGGGAAGAGGAAATTGGATGGTCTTTGCCACAGAACTCTTGGGAAGAG